GTGATAATATCGTATCGTGGGATGTATGGTGATTCCCACCTCTAAAATGCATGCTAATACTGAACATGATGTTTTATGCAGCAGCTGTCTGTTAGTTAGTGCACAACTATTCATTTTTCTTTCTGGATGCAAAAGCTGGAATCCAGCCTCACAGGCCATGATATGCTATGAATATGAAGATACTGACAGACAGCCAGTTTGTCTGACCTAACAGCAATAATGTTAAAACATGTCATGAATCACACTGACTGTAAATGTTTAGATAGTTTTTTTCTCACAGCATGTTTCATATATATGATTGGAACATGTTTGTGCAGCCTGTTTACTAAAACTACTGAATATATTTAGTCAAGTTTAAAGGTGTCACGTCAGTCGTCCTCAGCTCTGACCATCCTTCACTTCATGGTTAACGAATGTGTTTTTACCTTTGGAAGCACGCCTCGTTTTAGAGACACGTGCAGGGTTGTGTATTATCACTATACAGGGCTGATCAGGGGAGGAGCTCAGAGGAGGGGCGTGGATGCTAGGGACAGGATGAGATGAAGGTAACGATCCACCCATGAAGAGAGCGGCCGAAAGATAAAAGAAGAAGGTGGCAGGTGTTGTCGGCTGATTGTGCGTTTCCTCTAATCAACATGAAATGGTTAATGGGCTGATATGGACCGATAATAAAGGCCTTGTATTCCACTTTTCTGCTCACCTAAAACATATTTGTGTTGTTGCTTCGAGTGTTTTAAGTCACATTCAACAACGCACACCTACACACAGCACTTTCTAATAATCACACTCAAACTCTGACAATCACACCAAACTCTGGAATACAGATGGAGGGAACAAGCTGCTGGATGTCATCAGCCTGCACATGAAGGGGTCCGACCCCAGGTTTCCTCCACGGACTACGAATAATGACTAATGCAACCTGAAGCCAGAAACTCTCCCTGGATTGGACTAGTCACTGCGATGTCACCCACCGGTGAACCCACTCCACACAGGGAGGACTTTAGTCTGCTCAGCTTTTTAAAACCAAACGTCGTCAGCGCGTCACAATCCCGGGAACACGAACTGTGGATCTGAGGGACGCTGCACGCTCACTAGCTAACAACCTGTGATTTATAAGTCACATGTCTTTACTGAGGTCACAGAGCAAGACCGCAAAAGGTCACGTAAACCTCTGGTCACCAGTGAAGCTCCTGCTGGAAATGAGAAATAACTGGAGGTGTAAGGTGCATCGTAATCGTCTGCATTTCTCAGAAACAGATGCTATATCGCTCTTTTACACCCATTCTACGCCTGCAACTGATGCTAAATGTGAAAGTGGACATTTCAAGGCTGTCAGTTTAAAGTCTACGTTCCCGAATGAACACACAACTGGTGTTACTTTGGCACCAGCTCCAGAAACACATCGCTCACCTGACCTGTTAATTATGGTTTAGACGACTAAAACATAAAACTGAACAAGCGCTACACACCATTAAAATACTAAAAGAATAATTCCTTTCACACCAGCCAGTTGTATGTTGTTAAAATATAATCCACAAGGTGGCAGGCTTCGGTATCACAAAGCTCTGTACTACTGCTATTACTAGCATCAATGTAGCGTTGTAGTGCTGTGAAGGCATTTTTAGGAAGGTGCAGACTTTCACAGATCCATCCATAGAGCTCAGCGACGTGCATTTGGGCTTTACAGGTGAGCGTCTTATTTCATTATTGTGTCACACATCATGCTCACGGCCAACAGGCTTATAGGAAACCAGGGGAGCAACAGCATCTGCCAGTGTTAAAGAAAAAACCACAGCAGCGAACTTTTGAACATCAAAACGAGTAAATCACTGTAAGCGTCAGCACGCTGGAAACAGACATCTCGATAAAATTAATATGGACATATGGACACGTGTCATCCTGTTGAATGAACTGTCGTATAACAGAAACAGACTATAGCTTAAAGGTGACACTTCTTCTTTCTGCCAACCAAATCTTTCCTTCGCCTTTACCACACCCTTTATCTTTGTTCACCAGTGGAAATATGAACGCAAACACGCTGACATGGGTGCTCCTGTACACCTACCCTCCTAAGAGAGGCCTCAGAGTTCACAGTAACAGGATTTTCAGGGTGGACCCACTTAGCCGTGGGTCCACCCAGGTTGAGCCCTGGTGGGTAGGACGTTGGCGTTCCGTTGGGGTACTGCCACAGGATTGGGTACAGACCAAGTCCTGCAGCCCCGCTGTGAGCTTGGGCTAGAAGAGATGGCGAATGGTGGCCCTGGCCCTGAAACACACAGACGCATCTTTAGCTTTTCTTTAATGAGGGTAAAAAGACAAAGACACTACTCTTCTCCACAGTACAGGACTGCAGCACACAGGAGGCACACCTGTAGGTACTGCTGCTGGTGGGGCAGAGCAAGGTGACCCAGACCTCCCGGAGAGTCGAGTCGAGGGTGGAGAGATGCTGCAGGAGGGGCCATGGCTGGGAGCACAGTGGGAGGCAAAAGGTGTGGGTGAGGCAGGGCGGAGGTGTGAGCAGGAGCAAGGAGATGGGAAGCTGCGTGGGGGTGTGACGCAGGGGTAAGGCAGGGCGAGTGGGGGGAGTGCAACGCGTGCAGGTGGGGATGGAGATAGGCTGCCACGTGATTGGATGAGACTGTTGCAGAGGCGGAGTTCTCTGCGTCGGAGCGAACCAGAGCTGGGTCTCTGTAAACAGTGAAGGGCTCATTCTTCTTGATAATCAGCGGACTCTTTGTGCTGCTGCTCGTACTGACCGCGCCCGACTCTAGCCGCACTGGCTTGAAGCCAGACCGCGGAGGTTCTGCCAACTCGATTTTAACTGGCAAACGAGACGGTGGAGGCGGGGAAGTATCCGAGTACCTCAGCATTTTATGTTTAGATACCTCGGGGGAGGTGTTAGGTTTAGGTTTAGAGATGTCCGCCAGGCCTGCGTGGGCCTTAGCTTTGACGAGATCAGCTTGACTTGCGTTGGGGTAGGAGGGGCTCTGAGAGCTGTCGGGGCGGGATTTCTGCTTCAGGGAGTCCAGGTGAGCGGGGTTTGGGCTGGAGCTGATCTGAGGTTTAGATATGTCAGGGGGGAGCACCGTGTTCATCTTGTGGGGGGCTGGTTGCTGCTGAGGGTGCTTTCTTGTCTCTTCAGATAAAGAGGGACTCTTCATGCCAGCGTGGAACGACTGTAGTGTATGGTGCTGCTGCTGATGAAGATGATGGTGAGGAAGGACATTTTTCTCCTTTTCCACCAGCAACACATTTTCAGCTATAGATGTGACGGGCCTGGGAAAAAAGCACAGCAGGAAAAGTAAGAAGCAAGTTTGATGTTGACCATATTTGAAAGACTATAAAGTTAAACGCTGAGAGAAGTCCTCAGATCACCATGTGGTCCAGGGCAGGTTTCTGTGATTGCATTCAGTTACGATCCAGGACTGGGACACGTTTCTTTTTCAGTTTCAGATCCTCAGTCCACTTTGTCTAACCCTGACCCGACCAGGTCATTTTCCATCTATCCATGTACTTCCTGTTAGCCTAGTCACAGGTCTCTCCGAGTGTGACAGGAGAAACAGCAGGGTGCATCCTAAACATGCTGCTAGTCTATCTCAAGGCTACAAAAGGCGAGAGAAGGTGGGAACCTAACATTCATGTCTTTGCACTGGAGCCTACAGTAACCAGAAAGAGTCTACATGAATGGCAAGAACATCCAAACACAGAGGGGTCCTAGTGGGCTGCTCTATTTAACAGTGACATCCACCATCCAGTGCGCTGCCCAACATCTTGGCTAAGTGAGCAATACTTTTGGTACACAAAGCACACTGGAGGAATAAACACATACGTAAAGAATATATATTTATGCATACCAGGTAAAACAAAGTTCAGTATCTCCCTCAATCTGCAGGTTTTAGGGAATCACAAAGCCACAAATGTGCAGTAGCTAGGAGCCAGAGCAGGCCGCGATCACAGCTGTGCCAGATGTGGTTCTAGTTTTGATGACCATCCATTGTGTTTGCTAAACTTGTGTTGACTGCTAATATTTTAATATAAAAAAGTGTTTTACTCTCCTAAAATAGGCCCACAAATCCAGCAGTGGTTCAAACAGCACCGGGAATAATTCCAACTCCTGGTTTTGGAGTAAGGAAAAGGCCCTGGGAAAAGTAGTCCCACTCCACAGCTGGATCACCACCACATTAATGTTTTTACAGCCGCGGCTCAGGCACCACACCTACGGGATGAATTTCAATAGAATATGTCGCCTTGATCTCGAATTATCGCAGTCACCAGATTTTCAGAAACCTTGACCTCTGACCTTGAGATAACAGCTATTGTATCAATTTAAACTCGTACGTCGCTTCATTCTGTCGCAGGCGTCCATGTCGCTCGGGCGCCGTCCCAGCATCAGGTAAAAACACGTGAGCTGAAATATTTAAAACATTGTCTGCACTCACCTGATGACCTCAGAGGACGCAAACTCCAGCCTGCTGCTTACGCTCTTAGTCGCCGTAACGCCGCCTCCCAAGATGCCTTGATGCTGCACGGGAGGTTCCATCTCCGTCCTGCGGCCTCCCTCCGATGGCGAGGGAGACGGCGCTACAGGAGGCGAGGAGACGGGTGAAGGGTTGAGAGAGAGGTAAGGCGAAAGGGCCGTGGACTCGGCCTTTTCAGAAGCGAGCAGTGCCGACACAGCCTCTGAGCTCTCGCGGTGCACGGTGGCCTGGGCGTCATCTGTGATGTCAATCACACCGGCGCTGTGGAGGTGGGACAGCGACGGCGTCTGGGATCGAGACGACGCTAAAAGAAAACACAACAAAGTAAGAACACTGAAGCGTCGTCAGAGATGAGAAACTTGCAGCAGCTCACCTTTCACAGTGTTCTTGCTGTTCTCCAGAACGCCGCCCTGGACAACATCAGACATCAGCGGCGTCTGTTGCCGTGGAGACTGGGTGATCTGCGTTACGGCGACCAGTTCCTCGTCTTCCTTTGATAACATTTTGCTCGTTTCCTTCACTACGCTCTTTTTGACATCCTCTGTTGCTTGAAGCTCCGCCCATGGAGACAGGCGGCCAATGACAGACGAGGAATCGTTGGTCTCGGGTCCCTGCAGAAGCGGCTTCTCGTCCTCCTCCATTTTAGAAATGGCACTTGGTTTCACGTCGCTGCGAGTCTTTAGCTCGTTCTCAGAGTTGGGCTCTGAGGAGGAGGAAGAGGAGGAGGAGGAGGAAGATGAGGAGGTGGAGGAAGAAGATGAGCAAGAGGAGTGGGCGGCTCTCTTATTGTGAGGATTTTCTGAGTCGCTGCTCTCGGACAGATCGGATGTCATGTCGGTCTTCGGCTTCTTTGGACCCGCCTTCTTCTCATCTTCGTCACCTTTCCTGCGTTTGTTCGCAGACTGCTTCACCTTGGACTTGGGCTCTGAACAAACGACAAACAGGTGGGATCATTCTGCAGCTGTGTGAGACTCGTGGTAGATTTATTTTGGACAGATCGTCGTGTAGCTGGGTTCCTTTACAGACATTTGAAACATTTTCAGTATCACAAACAAAGGCAAGCTGCTGCTCAGACGTTAAGGAACGACACAAGAACACTTGCACAGTCACATAACACACACAACTTTCTGTTAATATGTTGGACTGTTCAATCGTCATGTCCACCCACCTGTTGTTAGGGGCTGTCAGAATGCACAGTTTTAATATTCAGCACTGGAGGTAAAACCTCAGTCTGACCATGACCGTAATCGCCGCAGAGCCAGTGAGAGGTTGGACTGGTTTAGCCACTAAACTGGGTCAGATCCACACACATGGGTGAGGCGCAAAAGTCAACTTTCCTGAACAGAAACCTACAAACTAAATATGATGGTGCATAATACATCTAACATCTAACGTCTGGTCCGAGTCTTACGTTAAGCTAACTTTTGCACAGCGACCAAAAATTGCTTCTTTTTTCCATAGGTTAGGTTAAGGTCATAGACTGTACATAAAAGATGGGGAAAGCCACCGTGACATCACATTCTGGTGAAGTCACTTTGTGAAAGGTGAGCATTTATGCTGTTGTGATTTCACTGAGACACAGGCATGATATTTGTTCTGTTTGACTCCATTTATTGTTCTCAATATGACATGAAACTGGGCTTTTTACCACAACCACTAACTGGAGTTTTAAGTGGCTTCCATGAAACGCCTTCACATGTGTGCATGTTTTAGCTCTCTTGTGATGAAACCCGACTCACCTCGCCCTGCGGCCTCTTCTCTTCGGTCCTTTTCCTCCTCTGGAACGCTGCTATCTGATCCCTTCCTCCTGGAAGGACGAGAGTTGCGCTGCTCTCTCTGCTCCCGCCCGCTGCCACCAGGCGAGTGGTGTAATTGGCTGGCCGGTTGCTGACTCTGCTGCGATTGGCTCAGTTGTTGGGAGGCCAGCATGCCCTGTGAGGCTTTAGAGTTGGGGCCTATTGATGTCATGATGGGGCGAGGGCTGTTAGCCTGGGCTCGTGTGTAATGACTCTGCAAGAATGAAAACAGAAATAAATAACAAATTCAATTTATGATCAGAATCTACAGAATCACAAACACAAGTCTGAGTTTACCCACCAGTACGTGCACCTCAACAACACCAGTAAAGCCTACATCAGATTCTATTGTCTGGTTTCACTGTTACGGCTGGCAGGCTGTATGCTGCACACAATCAAGCATTGGCTGACACATTTACACATGACATCAACAAACAAAAGAAGTAACTGGGCTACCATGGGTGTGAAGCAACTGTACAGATTATGAGGTAAGAAAGGAACACTGAAACAACTACTACAAACACACCGTTCTTCTATATGGTATCTATACGACAGTCAGACATGTATGACTGCTTGATATACTTCTGCAATTAATTTAAAACACGCCTGAGTTTAGCTTCAGTCAGAGGAACGTCCACAGACACGAACACTCCCTGCAACAGGCTGGAGTCATCAGGCTTTACTTTGTACTTTCTAGTTTCAGAGAATGTTCCTATTTATCACGTGGACAGGAACAAACCTCCATCTGTGCAGTGTTGAGGTTACCCGACAGGCTTTGGGTCCCAGTGACAGCACAGAAGCTTCTGGTAGACAGTAGCTATTATGCAGTTGCCTAGTTTAATATGTGAAATCATGTCAGTGAAGTTTAGACTACTTAACTTGGTGGGTGAAGATGCACAGCTAACACTATCAGTCTGCTGGGGGGTTGGTGTGAAAGAGCACAAAGTTAACAGCCCCGACTGCAACTGAGGGTCACTGCCTACCGTCATTCAAATGACCCACAGCAGACAGGAAGGACAATATTGCTATGATGCCCCCACAGCAGTGATGGAAGATGACACACGGATGACTGGAGCTGTCCTTAACTTGGGTTTTATAGGCTGCAGAGTGCAGGGCAGTGAGCTGATCTCAGGCTAGAGAGAGCTCATCAGTGACAGCATCACCAGCACATCCTGATACTGTGACTCTGGCACAGCAACAAAGACACTGTCATTCTGCTTCTTATGGTATATTAGGTAACGAGGTCCCAGAGCTGCAGAGAACATGAAGGTGCATTTGTCTGTAAAGTAGATGAAAACCTACAAACCAGTACGCCAGTATAGTAAAAGACAATGCTGCACCTGCTGATCTATTTCTGCTGAAGGTGTTCAGGGGTCTGCAGGCTGATAACCCCTGTCCCTGAAAGCACACCTGCTCAATACGATTTACTGTACGCATGCAGCAGACTACTATGCAACACAGCAGTCAGTGCAATTCACAAGATGTTTACAAGGAACTAAATTTGCTAAATGTCCAATTTGTATTTACAATAAACGAGCTGCATGTGATTATCTAGCTTTAGCTCTGCTTTGGAAAACGACATGTTTTTCATTATAGATGACAGTGATGCCGATCTGGCTACATTTGTGCTGCACGAGAACGTCACCATTTGTAAGTGAAATAAGTGAAATGAGGTCTTTAGGAGTTTTTTGTTTCCATCGCTGTGAAGGCTGACACCGAGGCCTCATTCACTTCCTGTTTGTGGCAGTGGGCGCTCCTTTCTCTCCCATTAGTCAGCGTTATCCTTAATTCCCAGCGTCAGCAGGTCAATGAAGTTGCCTCAGAGTGAGTCATTGAACTAAGCACCTATCCACTTTTCATGACCAACATGGGCCCGTGGTTATTTCCCTGTAATCACTAGAAGCTGACAAACATTCAGCGCCGTGTGGTCGATCTTAGTCTGTTCCTGTTAGCACAACTCCTACAGACTCTGACTGACATGTTGGAGGCTGCTGTGCCAGTGTGTTTATTCACTCTGTCCCGTTGCTGACCGTGAGAGGGACACGTGCTAAAGCGGTCAAACCGTGGCTTCGATAAGGACAGAACCTACAGCCAGGCACATGATGCACAGCACATTCAGTGTCTGTGAGAGGTAGTCCTTGAACCACGTGATCTAATCCTTGGTGAAAGGCATAGCAAAAAGCAACCCCACACTGCTGCACTGACCTCTGTGGTCACACACACCGTCACAGCTGGGAGCAGCTATATTACCCGGGGTGTGGCGGAGGCTAAAGCAGCCAGTAGATGGCGCTGTGAGAAGCACTTTGGCCTGGTTACTCTTTTAATGAACATGTGAAACGTTGCTGTCTTTGACTTCCATGAACACCGAGCACAGATTTAGGTTTAATGCAATCGGTGTTCACAGAAAACGTTTTAAACTGAATTAATGGCCGAATATTATACGTTTCAGATGATTTAGGCAGGTCAGCTATATTCATTTAACAAACACTGTCACAGAGTTTAATTTGTCTGCTTATTCGATTACTCCACGAGCAGTCCAAAAGACCAATGGAGTAAAACTATTGATAGTTGATGTGACCGAGTGCCTGCTGAGGCAGCCAGTAGTATTTAATAAAACCTGACTTACAGAAATGAACCTATAAGACTGAGAAGACAGATCAGTCTGCTTCCACTGAAGCTGATCACTGACCGTGTTTCCAGCTTCGTCCCAGTGTGTGACGCTGGCCCCAGACTGCATCTCAGTGCAGATGTGTGGAATTAGAGCTCCACTGCAGATACTCAGCGTGTTCTTTTATAAGTACCAAATGAAAACAGTAATCGCATCACGGCGCTTCACACTGTAAGTACAACCCTGGGCCTGAGTTAGATTTAGGGGTGTGTGAAAATGTTGAGCACAGAGGACGTCTGTCAGCTTTGTTCTACTGCAGAAAGTGTAGGACTGGAGGGTTGGGAGGTGGTGTAGCAGTGGGGGTTCTGGGGTACCTGAGTGCTGCCAGTGGTCCCGCCGGGTCTCCCTCCCGCCATCTTTAAAATGTCAACGACAACAGGAAAAAATAATAAAAAGAAAAATAACAAAATGAAATGAACACAAAGAAAATGTGGGACAAGGAGAAATGTTGTTATTGACTGCGGGACTGGCTAAGAGTTCAACGTTAGCTCCTTACACCAGCTTGCTTCAAACGAGTACGTGGCAACTTGACATTACATCACCACAGTTTAATGGTCACCTGCTGACACCGCAGGCACATTACACGGAGCCAAGAGGTGAGCGGAACAACAGAGCGCCTGAGTGTCTAACCTCTTAGGCGAGGTTCATAGAAACTTTTACGTTAAAGGCAAAGTTGGCAATTTAAAGATACGGTGAACACAGAAAATAAGGAAGGACATTGGTCAAACAGCTCTGTGGAAGATTCGGAGCCACAGCCCTGTTCAGGGAATGCTGAGGATAAGGATGACGACGCAGAGCGTTCAGAGATCTGTGTTGACCAATGTCTCTGACACGGACACATACACAGGAGGATGCAGATGATGCTGAGATTAGATGAAAAGCAGCAGCTGCTCGCTAACAGAAACAACACCAAAAGCCACGTGCTGGATGCATTCAGCTCGACAGTCATGAGTACACCAATCTTTTTATTCTACAGCTTTGTGTGTTTCGTCTCAACTCCACACCCTCATCAACTCAATATTTTGCATACAGTCCATCTTTATTCCTCATTTCTAATTTTTCGCTGAGTACCTACAGCACAGGTGACAGATAGTTTATCACTGTATGTCATATTTGCTTCTGTGTCCGTACTCACGTGGGCAGCGTTGCTGTTCTGACTGGATCGCGACCTGCGCCTGGAGGTAATGCCGATGTTTTCCCCTTTCAGCAAAGAGTGAACAACGTCATCCAGAAAGGTCATCTGGACCATGGATGGATCCACGTTCTGAGGCTCTAGCACCTGAGCACACACACCAGGTTCATTCGACACTCGTATCTTGGAGAATTCAAACGATATCAAATGATGAACAGATGCAAATGTAAACAACATCATTAGAGTATTTACGTTACTCTGCATGTACAGGTCTATAGCAAGAACAGAATATCTGCAGACTGCTAACCAACCATTACAGGTATCCTTCAGCCTCGGATACACCGAAACGGCCTCTGACCCTGAGGTGACTAAGATTCAAACACTTCTGAGACTGAGTAGATCCATCTATGCTATCAATCTGATTTCAGTGTAAATCAGTAACTGGGCGGTGTCAGATTCATGCCTGCTTTCATTGAAGGCTAACGGGAAAAGTCAAACTCCACTCCTTTTGCCTCTGTCTCTTAATAGCAGATGAAATCAGATGAAACGTCTGTAAATGATTATTCTTTTAAACACGATGAAGACAGAGGGGTGGCTGTGTCTCAGGTTAAGGTCACACGTCCCATCCTTTCGATCCATTTCACACAGTGTAAAACTACTTAAATAATAACATCACATAACTGTGTGCGAGTGCATCCACGTACCTGGTCATTCATAACGACCATGTTTCGACTGAAGAGGTCGTGATGTGTAATGATACCAGTGAACCACTGGGTGGCCGAGTCTTGTCTGTACACACGCACACGGTAGCCATTTAATGAGTAGGGACCTGCGAGCCACAGGAAACAGTTCCCACTGCAGTTATAGTCCCACTGCATGTTCCTTATACAACAACTATTACAGTAACGATGTCACTGACGTGGTGAGCTTTAGCAAAATAAGACGGCATGCTAAAATGCGACCACACAGTCCAAACAAAGACTTACCTTGCATAAAAATCTCCTGCACCTTCTGGTCTTTGAGCCAGCCTTTCACTTCTTCGTGGAGCTGAGGGTTGTCTCTTAACACTGGGCTTTGACTGTCCACCTCATCCTTAAAGACACCAACAAGTACCAGCAAATGATTAAACACGTGTTTGAGTCAAAGCCAGCTCAGAAACAACCAGACTGACACAGACGATGTTTCTCAGCTCCCGGTGCCACCGTGTTCATTTCAACTTCAAAAACTCGTTAGAATCTTTACATTTCTTTATTAACGTGACCACAAAAGTCCCAAATGTAAGAAAACAGAGTTATGTAAGCGAAGCCCACACGTCACAGTGTGTCAGAGCCTCCGTGTCCTTCTTGCACAGGCTGCTGCTAGCTCGTGGATCTTCTGCAAAGTCTAATCTAGACGTCTCTTCCTTGATGAATGGTTCACACCCTGTGCTCAGTCCAGACTGGGATCATCATACCGTACTTGCTGGAATGTGGGTGATGAAAAGATCCAATGATCCTTCTTTCCGGTTCTGGATTTTTCCGTCTGTAATAACAGACTGATTTTCCCTCTGCTAACATCCCTGCTTCCTCTGATGGATGTGTCGCTCGCACAGTATGTTGTGGGTTCAGATAAAAGCCTGGAATAATCTTCAGACACTTTTCCTGCTCAATTCAGTTCATATCTACAGAATAAAGGTTTTCACACTTCTTTTCTAATGCATTACATTTCAGTGTTTTATGATGTTTTCATGCATGTTCATACAGCAGTCGTGTCAACAAAAACGTGCCTTTTTGATCGTCTACATGAGCTTTAGCACAATGTACAGCAGCATTGTTGTTTAATGACTGAACATGAGGCTGTTAAAGGATTAAATACTAACTAATGCAGTCTCCTCCCTCAGTCCAGACTTCTGGGAAGGGTAGCAGTGCTTGTTTATTTGTGCAAAGGCCTGTCTTGGTAAAAGCTAAAGCAGAAACATGATAGAGCTAGCACGGGGAGCTGGACTCTGTGGGTGGAGTCAGCAGTAGTAACTACAATGACAGAAACTTGCACAGGAAAAAGGGTTTTAACGACCTTATTTTGGGGCACAGATACAAGCTCTTTGTTGTTGTTTTGTGCGTTCAGTTTATTTATATCCCGACGACCGCTGAAACTATTTATATAAAGCTGCAAACTGCTCGTCAAAGGTGGCTGTGAAGCAGATGGCAGTTACTTGCACACGTGTCATCCTTTGGTTGTCTCGGTAATCCTGTAAAAGCAGGTCATGTGTCAGCCGTCGTATCCTGCCCTGGCGCTCGCAGTCACCGCACACCTCCCAGGTGAGAAAAGTCGGGACCATCTCGCATCGCCGCTGGTTCTTTTTCTCTTCGTCACTTCAAGTCATCAAACATCATCAGAGCAAATCCCGCCCAGTGTGGACGCAGCATCTAAAGCGCCAGCATTACCACCATGGCTGAGACATCAGCGGATTCTCACCGCAGTGACTGAAAACATCTAAAAATCCAACTCCTGTCAAACTCTGATGATGTTTATAAAAAAACCAGATTCAGTCTGAAACTAGAAACCAGGAAAAAATGAAGTGTTTTTGAAAGACGTGATATTCATACAGCTGTGAAGCTCTACTGTCAGTGGCAGCGAGCCACAAATACCAGAAAGATTCACACACATATCCCTACATGACACCTTGTTGGAGTAGTTTCTTAGATCTAGTGTACTTGTTGTTTATTTTTAAATTATTTGCTGGCTTTATTTACAGACACAGTGAAGAGTGACAGGAAAGCAGAGTGAGAGAGGGGAAGGGCGGCCAAGGGCTGCAGCTCGCCGCTCTTCACCATCATACGGCCGCCCGCTCATCCCTCTGAGCCGACTCGTGTATTAATGAACACTTTGTACCACAAAGTGTTCGTTTTTACTCTTCTGTGACCTCGTTTTGACTTCACAGTATAAGGCCCTCACTCTGCACACTACTACGTGCTCTTTTATTCTTTATCCCTTCGCTGTAACACATTCAAAGTATCGATAATTACGTTTTTCTATGACAACAGATTTTCTGCTGTGACAGTAAAAAGGTAACAGGTATAAGACAGAGACATCACAGACACAAAGGGATGCTAAAAGACGACGAGTAACCAAACCACAGACACCACGCCGTCTCACAGCTCCGTGCAGCTCAGTCAGGAGCTTATGTGCACTACAGCTGACATGTTCCAGAATAAAACGGATTATTGGTGTTTCAATCAAATAAGACGAGTTGCTCCTTATCCTGGTGACGGGCCGAGACAGCTCAGTAGCTGCTCTGATCTCTGAGCGTTTTCTCATATATGAGATCATCTATAATCGTCTCTATTGTTAATTACTGTTTACAAAACTGTGAGATAAGAACTGGGTGTGAGCACCCGTCCGTGTACGTCTCCTCACAGATAAAGAGTGGCAGGAGTCAAAAAGACACAGAGGCAGGAAGTGAGGCCGCTTTCATTTCACCTTCTCTTTCATCTCCTTCCCCTCCCTCTCTGATCCTGCTGCAGTGCTCTACTTTCAAAACCTTTTTTAACTCCAAATTAAACCAGTGTAGCCTAAAAATAGCCCAGTGGAAAGCAGCGTGTCTCATATTCTAGAGTTTGTCCTTCTGATGACTAATGACCTCTGTTAATAGACTCCTCTAACTCGTAATCCATCCCAGTGAGCGCACACACTATTCTCTGTGTGTGAACAGCGGGGCTATGATGTTGCCTGGTTTGTTAGTCAGTATGAAGCTTCAAACCTGCAGTAATGTCAGTTTGAAACGATGTTCTGAAACTAACTCGAGTCCAGCAACAATTTGACTCCTTTTTCTGACGGCAGTCAAAACTGAATGAGTGACGTAAGCTGGCAAAGACGAGCAGACTTCCAAAGCTTTTGTTTTGTCAGATCTGAGTGCTGACTCTATACACGTGGTTTTACGGCGCTCTTACATACGATGCATCATAGTCTCCCACACAAGTCTCAGTCAGACACAGCAGGTGACTGTGCAACAGCACAGAGCAGCTTTTGTATTAGGAACACTGCAGGGCATAAAGCCAGAAACTTGCTCTGAGGCTGTCAGCTGAACACTATTAAAATGGGTGTGTCAGCTGCTTGCTGCCTTCCTCCCCCAACAGTCACATTCATGGAGGAAAACAAAGAAAACTTCTTAATTTTAAACACACAGAAGTGATCCTGCAATGTGAACAATACTGAACGTCCCCTCATGACACCATCAACGAGTCGGGCGGGCAGCAGCTTCCGTGAAACCCAATACTTGGTACTTTGTGGTTTCCAGCCACATCTCCATTGGATGTTGCTGCTGAGCTCCTAAACCCCATATCCCCTTCATCAGACTCGACTTTTCAAAGTGAATTTACACTTAACAGAAGGAAACTGTGTTTGGTCGGCTCTATTATTAACAGATGAATCTGTATTTGGTGCTCTAGTAATAAATTGGGGCAGCGGGACAGCATCTGTTCTGTGGTTTATATGACTCGGCTGTTTTGATACTGGACTGATAAGCATGCTATGTGGTTAGCAGTTGCCTCCTAAGCTTGCTCCTGTCCACTGTGTTTGTGCTGTTGAAGCATTTTAGGAGCATTTAATGAACACATGAAGTAAAGTTCTACTCTGCTGTACGTGAGAGTAACAGAGAGCATCTCTGCAGAAAGGTGGAGCGACAGATCTGAAACAGTGTGTGCATCGTTTGGTCAGATTGGTGAGTCAGCACTAACAGTTTTATTATCTGGCTGCTGCTCTTCAGCTTCAGACCACAATTTTCTAGTAACA